GCGTGCGTCCCGTTCCCCGAGCCAGCATCAATCGCGCGTCGCTGTCCTCCCCGTAACAATAATTCCCTGTGATCTCATCGGAACATCGACCAGCTGTTTCGCGACCGGTAGAGCGACGAGAGATACCCGTCGTATCGCAGCCGTGTGCTCGACCGCGCAGCACCGCGCTGTCGTCCGCCGATCCCACTTTGGTGTGCACGTGTGTGTCACGGTTGTCAAGTGTCTAAGCGTCATCTATGCGTCGATCGCCGGAATCCTTGATAACATGACATCCCGTGGCACGGCCTGCATCGAGAACGTAGTAGCGTGCGAACGATCCGTGTGCGTGGAGACGGGACACAGAGGACACATAGGGTCCGTCAGTGACGAAGCTCGTCCGGTAGGTCGGGTGTCGCGTCGCAGGGTGTGCGCCAAGTAATTGATTTCTCGGAGGCCACGAGCCAAGAGAATCTCTCGTCTGCCGTTAGCTCGCAAGATCGGCGAGTGTCGCGCGATCCGATGAAGCTGGACATGCTGCCTTCGAACGCGCTCGAGCTGCAGGTCGCCGGCTCGTCGCCGCCTCGCGACTATGAGACGACCAGCAAGAGTTTCCTCTTGGAGACGATGCCCGGCGACTTGCACACGGAAACAGCGGCGTGCCGATTCTTGGAGACGACCGGGGTCGTCGCTCGGTGCCAGGAGGAGATGAACGAGACCGTCAAGACCACGGCCGAGTCCGAGTGCTTGGCTAGGAAGACAATCGAATCAGCTGGCAGGCACGTCAACGGCCGACCGCGTCACAGCTTCTCCAAGAGCTCCGCGTCTCTGCAGAGCCTGGTCCGTCGAAGGAGTCGGAAACACGGCGCGTCCTCGTTACCTCTGGACGTCGATCTGTCCTCGTACTCGTCCCATCCTGGCTGCCTGCTCGATCCACCCAAGGAGAGCGCGGGTTATCGCAACGACGAGAAGACGGGCTGCGCGACCACGACGCGCACGTCCACGCTCCTTTACGTGTCCGCCGCGCAACCGTCCTCCAGAGGCGGCAGCAACGGCCAGGACGTGTCCTCGACGGCGAACGTCGCGAGCGTGGCGGCCGCCACCACGACCAGCAGCACCAGCAACGTTACCTCCTCGGCGAGCGGAAGCCACTTCGGCAATACCGCGTCCTCCTTGATAAGAACGACCAGCGTGATCACGGCGGGACCGTCCACGTCTTCCTGGAACAACTCCGCCGATCAGGAGTCGGATTACGTTGTCGATCCGGTTCAAGGGAACGCTTACCATAAAGGACAGTTTCTTGGAAAGGTAAGTGTTATTGATAAACAAACGGACACCTGTCGGTCTGTCATGATTTTGTTCACTGGTTCTGCTATCCGAACGCATGCGAAGGGATATTGTCGCCGATTGTGACTGTAGACACTCGAGAAAGAATTGTCGTGGTACTCGTGACTTTTTAGGTCCAAATCTTGAATGATTTTACTCTTTTACAAGTCTACCGAGCAAAGAAATCTTACAAATCTCGTGTTAACAGAATTTTTGTTGGCATTAAATATAATCTGCTATCATTTTATATTTCACACTAAATCGAATATCGTATTAGTATATCAATTGCTGGCATTGTGTAAGAAATAAAAGTAAAATTAAAATAATAGAAGCTAACTCCTGTTTTTCATTTATTCGCGTCATTTGACTGCGAGAATACATTATTAAATGTATTTCCCACAAATTATATGTTCCAGTACTTTCTGCAAATATTCGATTTTATTATTTTCATTCAGACATGAATGATGAAGCCCCTGAAGAAAATATTTAACATTGGAACTATCAAATGGGTCAAAATGCCCCGTTTCGTGACACTTCTTGAGCAATTATGGAAAAGGCACAGATCTTCTGAGAAATTATTCTATAAATTGAATTAGATAAGCACAAACTAGAATGTAAGGAAATACAGAACACAATAAATGTATTTTTATACATTCTATAAGGAGATAAAGAATAATCAGTTTTACTGCTCGCACAATCCTTTATTATTATTAAAAGTCTGCAGGAATTAAATGCATATTGCGCATACAAACAACTTTATCTGAACTTTTCAGGCGTAGAATCGCGTGTGATAAAATTAATTTTCTAGGAGAAACCTGATGGTCTGATTTTCCCTCTGGGAAATTAAAACCGGGTTACTTAATGGAAGAATACAATTAAACAGATAACGTTTCTGGGAGGAAAAAAATTGTGGAATATACTTAGGGTAGTTTCGCACATTAATATACTTCTTCACAAGTCATTCAATTGAAGAGAAAATACCATTAATTTTTTGAACTTCGCTCAATATATACCACAGTATATTAATATATATTGTTAATCTAGAATGGTATTAACTACCTTCTTCAATATAATGCCAGTGAATTTTTGAAATTGTTCTGTTTGAAATGAGTTCAAACACGATGGAAATCGGACTAGTTTTACCGACCTGATGTAATTAACGAAATTAAAGGTTCGTTTGCAGCAAAACCGATGAGACTAGCCCGATATGCGTCGTGTTTGCACTCATTTTAATCAGAAAAATCTCAGCAATCCATCGGTACTATATTTGAGAAGGTAACTTTAAAATTAGTGCAATTGAAATTTTCTCCATTGCATGTGTATATTTGACGTGTGCGGCGTCGCTTTGAAGTCCTGCGCTTCGACCCTCGATACTCGATGGACTATGTTCATTCCGTTTCTGTCCATTGTATTAATTTTCTGTCTCTGCCTACTGGGATCATGCCAGACTCAGCTCGAGATAGTGAGTGGGGGATGAGTAGGGCTGTGGAATTTAGCCGAGCAGATTTCTGTAAAGTTTAAGCGAGCTTTACTGTACTTTTATGATGTAGTATACACTATAGACTAAAATTAATATAATATAAATATATTTTTATATAGAAAAATGTTCATAACTTATCATTACCACTTCTTATAAATACTAATACACACGTCTCGCAACTATACAAATTTTCAAAGTTGATTATCTCTGAATTGAAGCTTGTTACAAGAAAATTTTATTTTCTGTTTGAAATTTATTTTATTATAATTTAACAATCGGTAGGGATTTCTTAAAATTAAAATGTAAATTATCGGAAATATGAAATGTACATATGTACATCCTCCAGTTTCTGTCTGTATGAAATTCTAATTTGAAAGGTGATTAGTATTACCATGTCCATAAGAAATCGAGGACAGGTAATTGTGCTGTTGAAAGGGGAATAGTTTTTCCCGCAAAAATATCTGCCTCTTGCGCCAATCACAACAGATATTTGTTTCTGAGGCAACAATGACCATCTGGTGTTCCTTTCTAACACAGTACACTTTTTGTTCTAATGGAAACTGCATTCAACAGTCGACGCAAACATCTGCAACACTTGACGCGAAATGATTCTAACTCGAGGACTTTCTGCTATGCAATTTCATGTCGGTATTTGCAGGCACAATTAGGTCATTATTAATAATTAATCAATTCCTGTTGAATATTCAAAAGTCTGGGATTAAAATAAAGCTTTCTTAAGTGTGTTCATTAGAATTTTTGATGATCTCATTAAAAATGACGTTAGAAGATAAATTGCATTCAAATTATTAAGGTTATTTTGAAGAGTTAAAAAAAACTAGCTCATTAATTATTTATGGAATGAATATTTTACTAACTCATTGTTAAGTCAAGCTTCGATTTTCATTCAAGACCTTTCCTTTTTTACCATGAATGACATTTCCTTTATCAATACTGAAATTTTTGAACAAATAATTTTTTTAAGGGATGTACTAAGTGGATAGATTTCAATTATTATTTCAGAATTAATCCAAAACCCACTAAATTTTATTCCTGAAGGTGTAGTCAATTATGAGCAATAATATATCCCAATTTGTGTATGAATAATTTTGTAAACAAGTGACCCAGTACACTAGAAAATAACAAGAAAATTTTTGGTAATGACTTCACGCTCAAAAATATTTCTCACGTTGTGACGGTTGCTTGTGTATATATACAACCCAGAAAATACAGATGACAAGTTATTATTTGACATTGTTTACTTTGAGGTTAGCAGAAACTGTTCACTTCGTACCTGCTCTACTTACTTCGAAAGTTACGTGTAATTTGCGATACTATTTCCTCTAGTAGCGTAACTTACACGCGTGCGGTATCAATTACAATTAATTTTTGCTTTTATTCGAAACAAGTTCGCTGTGCATTTCGCAACATTTTTATAATACTTTTTATAACATTCGATGTACTTTGTTGTACAGTTTATGATCAATTAAACGTTGGATACTTTCGAAACAATTATATATTTATTCATTTATTGTTATTATGTTACATTACATTTATTTTTATTATTTATTTAATTATTTATTAATCATCTATCTATTAATATCGAATAGAAAATCATATACATCATGGTGGTACTATAACCTTTCTTAAAATTTTTCTTCTTTTGCTTTTACAATGCAAATAAAATATTGTGTCTGATTTTCATGGGACACAATTAGATCCATAGAATTATATGAAAATATATAGACATTCAGTTATAGTTATTTACGATGTCGGTATTAGGTACTTTAAAATTTTTATCACTTATTTTACAAAATTGATTACGTAGTTTTAATTCGTTCAAACCTTTTATACTTCGAATATCTATTTAATTATAAAAAATGGCACTATGGGTCATTATAGTTGTATAATTTAAGAAGAAACGTCTATATTCTGCTCTGTCTTAAGTTAATCTTGTTTTAAGACAAATTCCTGTTTCGGAATAACTTGTGGCTCGGTCGGCAACTGAGCGTAATTGAATTGTAAGAATACGGTTTCACGAAATGGATTTATTTGGAAATCATAAGTGGTCGACTTTCACGCGGTTGCTCTCCCTTCGAAAGGACGAAGTGTGGGAAGTGAATCATTGCTGAAACGAGATTCGTTTTCGCATACCGGGAATTCTAATGTGAATCGTTCAGAGAAGTTCTGTCACCATAGCGGAACCTATTTCCAAGAAAAGCTACGGTAACCGATCTAGCAGCGAAGAACCGTGAGAAAGAAAGAAGTCGGCATCGGTTAAATTAGCCGTGTGCAGGAACATCGCGAGTAATCGCCGAGAAACTTTCAATTATATAATTACGTGGGTTTAAAAACGTGACCGAGAATTCCTTTCATTTACCGCATGAAATTTGCAATGATAACTAGACCGTTTATTATGAAACCGATTCATTTCTCCTTATGTGGAGATATTTGAGCCATTCATTAGCGAAATCGGTTAACTCCACGAAACAAAAATTAGAGAAAAGTGATAGGTGTACACAGCTTTTGAAAATTTCCTATTAAACAGAAAATCAAATAATCATTGTAGAACGTATTTTACTTCATTATTACAGGTATAGTAAATAGTGTAACTTTGAAGTAATTTTTATTATTACTGCAATTTTTGTATTGGCAATAGAAGTTTTATTTCATGGTACCACATTAGTACCACGTTGGTGAAGAATTCTGTGTTCATCTATATCCGCGTTTACTTTGAAACATAACAATTGATAATAGAAAAGTAACATTTAATTTGAATTCCAAAGGATTGAGTAACATTTATTTCTGTTTACTTCCGTTTGAGATCTTCCTCATCTGATACGATATTGTATGCCAACGGGTTAATAAGACACAGATGTTTCTCTGAGAAATTATTGAATAACTTGATACAGTGATACGTGAATTAAAATAAAACTCAATCGAAATCTCAGTAAATTAGCTATCGCATCATTTCTGATTACATTTCTTATTTCGTTTAACATTTCTTTCAGTTTTATTTTAAAATTGAATCATACTTAATTAGTCCGATTTAAAGAAATCCTTTTTATTGATATTGTAAATTACATTGCAACAATATCGCATATAAATTGACAACAGGGAAGAACCTGGCAGAACTTTGAAATGTAGATACATATCGTAACGTCAAAGTGTTTTAGCGTTAAGCTATTAAGTCGGTTTAAATTTATGAGACGGAATTAAAGAGTGTGTCCCGCGATGTCTGCTCAGAGAATGTTGACGTAAAGCAGCGTGTACACTCCGCGACAAAATAGAACGCGACATCGTGTTATGATAAATAATTAATCATGTTACGAGAAACTTTCGGGTGTTTCTTAATAAGCCATTTAAAGGTATAAAATGAAATAAATGTATTGTTGTATTAAAAATATTGGCCACCTATACTTCCATTTTCTAAGTAATGTAACAACAATATGAAAGAAGGTCTTACAGGCAGAAAACGAAAAAATAAGAAAGAACTTTCTCTCTG